GAGGAAGGGAGTACTGCTGTTGGAAAGTACAAGAGAAGAAGCTGTTGGAGTAGAATGGCGTTATATATATATATATATATATATATATATATATATATATATATATATATATTTTATATATATATATATATATAATTTATTATTTATAGCCAGAAAATTAAAAAGCAAAACAGTTTCGCCACTCGGCAATTTTACTCATAAATATATGTATAACATGCCCTGCTCGGCTCGATCCTGGATTATTTACGCGTTGGTCACTAGTGCCACCGGTTAACTGATGGTCCGCTTTCGTTCTTTCATCTGATCTACCCACGTTGTGTTCCTGGGATTATAGTGCAGTGAAGATCAAACTTTCCTTCGCACTTTGTGACTGAATATAGTTGGTGGAACCGTGCTATGAAAAAGAATAAAAATGCTTCCTCTGGTGGAAACACACATATTATAACAAATGACAAAGAAGGCCGCTGGGTTAATTTTCAGTTGGTTTACATAATCGTTGATACAAAAAAATTAACCCTTCCCGTTCGACTTTCTGTCGTGACATTGTATTTCTTCTAAAAAATGAAGCGGATTAAACATTTACACGAGGTGTTACGTCAGCCAGACTTGGCGGCAGGTCACGTAGGGTTCAACAGTTCCCTCGGACGCTGTTGATTCGTCTCAGCTCCTACCGCTGGCTTCAACTGATCCTTCAGTTTATATACATCTCGCTCAACTCTCACTACTCCTCAAAGCTCATTACGTATGCATCAATTATTTTCAAAACAATAAACTTTGTTTCCATATTTCTCGGCAATTTTTGAATTTGTAGGTTTGATGAATTAGATCGTGAATACGATTCCAGTGTAATAAATTATAACCATGGAATATTAGCGTTTGCGCCTTTCATTATATATATATATATATATATATATATATATATATATATATATATATATATATATATGCGTGTGTATATGTGTATGTGCAAATCTTTTGTTATTCATATATCGAACCCTTTTTGCCTTTCATTGAACTAAACCTCCAGGCATTATTCATTATAACTAAATAATAATAATAATAACAACAACAACAACAATAATAATAATGATGATGATGATGATGATAATAATAATAACAATAACAATAATAATAACAACAACAATAACAATAGAAGAAGAAGAAGAAGAAGAAGAAGAAGAAAAGCTAGGAGAATTAATGGAAGAAAAAATAATTTAAATGCACATATTTTCTTTAATGAGAGACCGGTAGGAAAATGATTTAAAAAAAAAAGAAGAAACAAACAAACGAAAAAGAAAAAAAAAGAAAAGCTATAAAACATCAAGAAGTGAAAGAAAGGAAAAAAAAAACTAAATTAAAACTAAATAGAAATAGGAAGCAGTAAAAGAAAAGATAAAAATGAAATATAAAAGGAAGAAAATTACAAAATGAATAAAAAGAAAAAGGAAATGAAAGAGGAAAAATGAACATTAGGAAAAAAAAGACAGTAAGAAAAATGAGAAACTATAAAGAATGATTGAAAGAATGGAAAAGAAAGAAACAAAGAAATAAATGATAAGAAGGAAAATGAACAAAAGTTTGAAAGTAGAAAAGACTTAAGACATAGAAAAAAAGAAAGAAAGACATGTATGGGAAGAAAGGGCGAAAGAAAGAATGAAAAGAAACAAAAAGAAATGGAATGAAAAAAGAAACAAAGAAGTAAAAGAAAAAAGAAGGAAAAGAAAAAAGACGGAAATAAAACAAAGAAAAGAGTGAAATGAAAAATAAGTCATAAAAATGAAGAAAATATAAGGAAAGAAAGAAATGAAAGAATGAAGAAAAATGCAAATAATTATAGAAAGAATATATGAACAAGAAATCGAAAAGAAATGGAGAATAGGACGATAAAGAAAGAAATTTAGATAGAAATTATCTATAACAGAAACTACTTTTTTATTTATTTATTTTTTTTTAACTCAAAGTAAAATAACCGAACTTTTTGGAGATACTAGGATAAAAAAAAAATCGGAAGTCCGTCTCAAAATAGTGTGACAGTTAAAAGCTGGTTAAATGCAGCCAGAAATACTTTCCCCCCAAAACGAACACTACGACATTTGACAGCCGTGTCAAGATAAAAAGATGCTACGCATTCGGGGGTCGCAGAATACTAAGCGAACAGAACTGTCAAAAAAGTTTTCATAGAACAAATTCATGACATGCCGCATGACATAACCAACTGGCTCCAGAAGGGAAAGATCTCAAAATGTACATTGTATTCCAAAAGGCAATTTGCAATTCAAAACGACATGTTTCTCAAAAAGTCAATGCATATATATATATATATATATATATATATATATATATATATATATATATATATATATATATATGTGTGTGTGTGTGTGTGTGTGTGTGTGTGTGTGCGATGCAGATATGTAGAAAAATAGGAAAGAAAATGTTAGGTAAATAATCCGGAGTTCTTTAGTATTTTTGTCTTTATTAAAAAAAAAAAAACAACAACAAAAAACAGTGTTCAGTACAGAAGTAGAGCTTAAATTATAGTTATTTAAAAAAAAAAGAAGAAAAACGCAATATAATTATCAAATTAAAATGAGTTAAAATATCAAGTCCTGTTTCATCCTCAAGCGAAAATTTACGAACTTAGGAAAATCGCTTTCGGCTCTCGTTTTTGAAACGTGAGAACTCTTATGTAGCGAAGGAATTATATATATATTTTAAATAATTATATATATATATATATATATATATATATATATATATATATATATATATATATATATATATTCACAACTTGGGTCAACCCGTGATATGGCTTTCAGGTACTTTCCAAAGATGCCGCACGCTAGGATCGACCCTCCAGCTTGATAACATCAGGAAGTATACTTCCTGTCAAATCAACGTTTGTGAGATTCGAACCCGGGTGTCATTGTCAGACTGCAAACGTTCTAACCACTCAGCTACGTGAAATTGTGTAGACGGAGCCCTTGGTGCTGGTCGATAGCTGTGCTAGCACGAAGTCACAAGTCATCGTGGCTGAGGGCCTGAGCGTGCTGGACTTGTTCAAATTGTTGATCACGCTAGATAACACACACTTCTCAGAAACTGTAACTAAGGTCTGCTCAGCATAGTTGCAGTATAAACCACAGGTTGGTTTTGTGGGTGATGAACTCATACGCCTGAGCAAGCGTCTGCAGTAGGGTTTGGCTAGCCGCTCTAGAAGACGAGTATCATCGAATACGAGTTGACACCTAAACTGCTCTCTCTCTCTCTCTCTCTCTCTCTCTATATATATATATATATATATATATATATATATATATATATATATATATATATATATTATACAGCAAAAGTTATCCAAATCGTATAACAACATGGGATAATTGTCCACTTCACAAAATATTTAATATCTGAAACTAGTAAACTAATTGTCACAAGAATCACTGAAAAACCATTTATTTAGCTAAAAAGAAAACATGTTATAATTGTTTTCTATCGGCCCTACTGTCTTCACAAATGAGCAATGATGAGAGGGAAAAGATCATTTAAGCTTTCAGTAATGCTACCTACATTCATACTCGTTTCCATCTTCAAAGTCCATTCAGGAAACATCAAGAGACCGGAAAATATGTTTAATAAAAAGGGAACAGGAGAGTGGAAAAATGGATATACATATATATATATATATATATATATATATATATATATATATATATATATATATATATATATATGAAGAAAAATATACGGAAAAAACAAAGAAAAATCCTTATATGCAATTATGCTGTTTTAAATGTTAATATAATGTCAATATCGGACGTTTCGGTATAATAAACCATCTTCAGGACATATTCATAAAATATAATTAACATTATCAATTCAATATGACAAAGACGATGGACATAAGAACTGTCGAATCTATATCCATATATTTGCTTACACACACACACACACACACACACACACATATATATATATATATATATATATATATATATATATATATATATATATATATATAGAGAGAGAGAGAGAGATAGATAGATAGATAGATAGATAGATAGATGTCCAATGCAAATATTTCATAAAAGATGAAATGAACTGGAGATTCTGTTCCCCTGTGTGAGTTGGGTTGGCTGGTTGAGTTTAAAACATTTTATGTTGCGGTATCATTCATACAATATGAACGGGCTTTTTCGGTTTTCCCTGAACAGAAGTATCTTTTTTGAGGAAGAAATGATTTTTCCCATAGTACATTAATAAAAAAAAAATAGTAGAAGGTAGAGAAGTCCTGTAGAAGACACAGGGGCCTCTCAGAGGTGCAAGATTTGAACGTAAAGTGGCCTTGAAAAGGGATGTTTTATCGTTTTATCGTTACCACAGTATCGCTGGAGAAGCGACAGGGGCATCTCAGGTGGTGTAACATTTGAAAAGTGAACGTTAAAAGGGCCATATTATCATTCTCTCATTAACCCTGAAAAAGACTGTTAACTGTTCACAGTTGAAACGCCCTTTGACGGTCACATGGGATGTTGTGTGTGTGGTGGTGCCGAAACTTATATCAGCTGCAAGGGGGAGTGAGAAGCTGTAGCGGTAATATTTAAAAAGTCTTTAAAAACAGTTATTTTATAAAAAAAATGAATTAACTTACCATTTAGGCAAGGAAGGCTATGGTATGGTTGACGACTTACAGGACTTCTCGGGAGACGATATTTTTCGTTTGGGCTCTTGGGGCAAACACGAAAAGTTTTTTTTGCAGCCCACGTATAACTGACCGTGTGAAAAGCATAGTTCCCCTAAGTGTAGACCGGCTGTTGTCAGTGTTTAGCCTTACGTCTTGTAGATGGACATAGCAAAAGACAGACGTAGGGTGAAATGAAGTCTCCGCAGGGAACAATGGCATTCCTTACCGGATGGTGTTAGAGGTATCCGTGGTATGAAGACACTGTTTCTGATAAGAATGTTTGCTTCAATGACATGGGGCAGTGCATTTTTAACCACTAACCGTAGAGGCGTGATGGCTCTAGGTTTCTCAGCAGCATGACTGTGTCTCCAATTTGGAGATGAAGTTGGTTAGGCGGTAGTCCGGAGAGGTCCAAGGATTTGAGAACCTCGGTGGGGTAATGAACGGCCTCTTCCGAGTCAACAACAGTGTCCGCGGACTTTTTGGTATGGAGATGTCTCGGAACGTTTCGCAGTAGGTCGTCGTTGATTTTGGCAATAAATATGCTTTTTGGGGTGAGTATTGCTCTTTCACATAGCCAAATTAGATTGTTGCAGTTGGTGTGTAGGTCAGGGAAAATAGCTGCCGTAGGATCGTCCAAAGTATCAACAGGTGTGACTACGTGTGAAACAGATGTCTCTCCAGCTGTATCTGAGGGAGCTGTGCTATCACCGATGGCAAGAATTACTTTGGAGAGGTCATCCGCTAAACTGTCGCTGAATAGCTTGGCCTTCATGTTTGTTATAAAGGTCAATGTTGTCACGTTCTGCCACAAGGAAGATGAATTAATGCAAGCCATTTCATCGTCGTCTCTGGTGCCTTTTTGGAATCACGGGCAGGGTTTATCTGAAATCAGCAGACAGAAGAAGGGAAACGCCTCCCATTTAGCTCTTGTAACCTATGATGTCTTTCAAGGTGTTATTCAGTGCCTATAGGGATTCTTTATGGGCCATGGTGCATTCGTCCCCTATCAGGGAGCTGGCATCTTCGCAGCACTTCTGATTTTTCTTAGTATTTTGTTATATTACAGGTGGCTGAGCCGGACGCAGAAGCATAGTTTGAATGCAGAACGAGCCGTTCTACCACCGGGCAGAAGAGTCGCGGTAATCCATAAAGAAGTTATAGACAAGGCGATCCCCTATTGTTGGTGCACTTTTTAGTCACGAATGTTTTACCAGTTCCTCCTGGGGCGTCTAAAAAGAAAATCCCCCCTCTGCTTTCGCGGATAGAACTATAGACAACGCTGTGTGCTTACTGCTGATCCTGAAGAAACTTCGGCTCAATTTCGTCGATGTACTGCTGAAGATCGTTGGCTGTTTCCTGAATGACGCCCATTGGTAGTGTCTGTGAGTGCGTTCTTTTGGCTTTTGGCAGAACATAAGATGGTAGCTCATTCCCACTGGCAGTAAGCTGTCCTCAATTTCAGTGAGTGCTCTTTTAAAGAATTCAACGTTAAAGCCGACATTCAAATGAGGCAGCTTATGTTGTCCTTGGTGGTGGTAGTCCACTGAAAGGTCTTCCTTGTATTTCTTCCCTAGGGGCATAAGATCACCGAGTTCGCATCTTTGAAGTAGCACTGAAAGAACTTTCGAAGATTACTCACCGAGCGTATTGTAGCTGCTTCGGCCATTGTTTCGTCCCATTGAGCGACGTCCTCTTAGCAGGCGTCGTTTAAGGCTGGTTTCGTGGTATGTAGGAAATGTTTCACCGTTGAAGGTTTTCAAGTCTTCGAAAGATGTCGTTCCCATGACCTCAAGCAGCAGTAGGCGAAGATAAAAACAATCCGGTTGTTTAGGGCTGACTCTGTATACTCTTCCAAGGGTGGGGAAATATTTTAAGTTTGGCAGTCCGTCGACTTCCCAAATACGTGTTTCCTTTTTCCACGTGTAGTATGATGGAACCTGGGAATACAGGAGGATCTTGGCAGACGGGTCATTGGTGCATAGCTTGAAAAGGGCGTTGAGCGCGGTGTTCTTGGTTTCCTGTGCCAAATAAACAGCATTAGAGCTGGAGAAGTAAACTCTATGACCGTCCTCAAGGTGCACAGTCAGCGGTTCGATGTGTCGATAGCTTCCATATTTGGGATATTGAAAGAATCGCAGAAGGCTTCACCGCAGCAGAGGTACCGTGAGACTTGGAATCAAGTGACTTAATCTCGGATGGTATCCATTTCGAGGCCAAAAGATGCAGCTTCGGAGCCCTTAGTGATTTACTTGCAGATCTACTTTATAGACTTAACAGAATTAAAATATTCGATGTTAATGTCGGCGTTGAAGTTTTTAAGAAGGAAGGGGCCGTAGGGCACAATTCATCGGTTGTCGACGTGGTTTTCTCCTATGTTTTACCGTAATCCGTCCATCTCCTGGCTCTCAGCAGCGATAAAGTGGGTAGCCGTCGAGGCCTGTCTAGGTTTCTCGTAGAAAAGGTCTTGGATATCATTCAGTACACCTCTTTTCTTTGATGCACGATATATCCATGTTGAACCCGCTTCCACGTGGTCCATGAACCATGTGCGCAGTCACGAGGTTAAAGCGGTCCTTGTCCACATTTGGGTCGAGCAGTTCTGCGGAGATAAGTCTGTCAATGTCGCTCACGTTGATTTTATTCAGAATCCAGATGAGAAAAGTGAATGTGTCGCAGCCCTCTCTTCTGTCCCTCAACTGTGTACATATAGGCTCTCATGTCTCCAAACGCTTTACCTGAATGAATAAGTCGAATAAGTAGTGTCACTTTTAACTGGAAGACTCGAACAATAAGGTCGTGTCTGTCTGGCGTTCTTTGTCCCGGTAGCAATTCTCTGGTAATTTTAGAGCACTTCGGGTTGTAGGTGAAGGTGACAAATAGGTCCGACCGGCTAAAATGGTGCATATAAATCATAGCATCTTGCATGCGTTTATTCATGTATCGTGGGCTCCCAATGAACGTTGATGGAAGGATGAATACTTCACCAAAGTTTTCGCTGTCGTTCCTGATTCCGTCTCCCAAAAGAATGTATCTGTCTGACTGCAGGTGTGTTTGATTGGTCACTATGTAACAGAGTCGTCCAGATTCCATTTTCGCGCATTTGTCTCTTGCATGCGTCTACAGGAAGTTGACTGAAAAGAGTTCTTTCGCGATGAGGAGGATTGAAACTGCCATCGCGAACTATGAAGAGGTAGGCGTAGAATTGCCTACAGGACAGAGGTGAGTTGCTGACGAGCAAAGGAATTCCAAAGTGATATCCGTCGTCACCGTAGGGAAAAGGGGGTGGTTATTGGAATGCGTCTCAGGACCTGTATGTCTCTCTGATCCTCTGCATATTATTGCCCCTGCACTGCAGTATGATGCCTCGTCTATTGTGCTGTTGCCCATAAATAACCACATCAATTTCATTAGAAGTGGGTGCGTTAAAGAGGCCGAAATGGGAGCCCACAAGATTCTGTCAGCGTCAATTAGAACAGAAATAAAATGGGCGTAGTTGTAGCTTTCAACGCGTATTTAAAACTGCGGATGTAGCTGTTGATCTCGTGAAGTATTTTTTTATAGTTTCAAAACTATTTGTTTTTCTATGCCTGGTAAAAAAAATATCGTGCGTCGCCCTGTTTGGTTCATGTAGTCGGTGACGGAGTACAATTGTATAAATTGGGGCACTCGTTTGCCAGAGGAAGAAGTGAACCGGTTCTGTGGTAAATCTGTCCTTGGACTTTAAAAGTGGGTATGTAACCACTCCCCTGTATGATGTTAGCACCGAAAAAGGTCATCATAAAAGCGCAGTTTTATCTCCTGGAATTTTGATGGAAATGTTCAGGATTGTGAAAATGCACCTGGCAGAAGCAATTTTAAAGGTTCCGTGGTTGCCCGCAAATGATGCAACTGTACTTTACCGTCGGATCAACACAGACTATTAGATTCCCTTGGCCATTTTTGACCCCGCATGGCTGACAAATGACGGACATGGTTCCCAACTGAAGACAGGAGAGTATAGTTGACTGTCGGGTCGTAGTGGAAAGCATTATTGGACCATCTTGAAGGACGGATTCGTGTAATACATCGTGCAGCGTCTTTTCGGTGTGAGTTTGCGTTTAGCCAACTGACTCGAACTGGTTCACTCTCCGTTGTGCACAAAAACCCCGTTGTAGTGGCGTCTAATCGTTGATGTTTTTTGCGCCGTTACTTGGGCTCACCAGCGTGTGTGGCAGCAGCTCAATCAGCGTCTCTTCTTCACCGTCTAGACGTTGTTCATTGTCTTTACCTGCACGTGCAGCAACGGTTGAGGCAGCAGTTGTTTTCCGTCGTCTGACGCGTTGTTTATCGCTTTCGTTAGAACGTGCAACAGCGGCTGATTCGGCGTCTCTTCTTTGCCGTCTAAAACGCTGTTTATCATCCTCACCAATACGTGCGGCAGCAGCAGAGGCTGCATTTGTTTTCTCTGTCGTCTGGTGCTTGGTTTTTTACTTTGAGCTGCGCGCACAAGAGCAGCTAGGAAAGAGTTTCTAGAAAGGCGAAGATTTCTCCGTTCTTCTGTTTCGGTTGACCTAGCAAGGGCATTTCGAGTAGCTTTCTGTGACAGTCTCAAGGGACGACTCGTTTTATTTCCTTCGTTTTGAGGCTAAAGCGGCTGAAGTCTAAGACGCGAATTTTCTTACGAGGCATAGCGGGGGAAATATGTTACTGGGAAAAAGCAAATAGCAAAACAGACGCAAGAGAAGCAATCACTAATTAAACACGTGTTTGAGTGGAAATAGTTGTTTGAGCAAAGGGGCTGCAATATGTTTTAAACTGACAGTAACAAGTAAATGTAGGAATATAACTCAAATGACAGTTCAAACTTGTAAGCTAAATCGTGTCAAAAGTTATGTACAAAAAGCGGTAACCATGATATTGTGACGCATGTTTGAACAGGGGAGCAGTGTTCCACCAATGAGATCCTGACGTAAACATGATTAGACCAATTAGTGGGGATCCAGCACAGGTCAAAAGGGCACTCGAAATTCACGGTGCTAGTCTGTGTTCAAGTGCAAAAAGGTGGGGGTAGGCGTAATTGGACGTGAACAATTTAAAACAAGTGAAATGGAGAGAAGCGTTTTTTTGTACGTATGGTTTAGTCAAGTGAAAAAAGGAGGGGAGTGGGTGGACACAATTGGGATATGTTTTGTGCGGATATCTGTGTCTAGATTTTTTTAAGTGTGAAAGAAGGGGTGTGTGAATCTAGAAAAAGTGGGAAGGAAAAAGGAGGGATTGTTTTCTGTGATTACCTAAAAAGTGATAAATTAGGGACAGACTCAAAAAGGGGTGCAGCCGAGGGTATACGATTGACGCACTTCACAAAATGCTGTACGCATACTTGAAAGGAAAGAGAAGTGGAAGATGGGTACTGCTGTATGTGATAGATTAGAGCGAAATTGAAAGTGGAATTAATGAGTTTAAAAAGGCTACCAATGGAAGCGGGGAGTGCTAGAACGGTCTATTTTAGTAATGGTATTGACGGGTTTTCTTTGGGTATTCCTTGGGTAGAAGTGTTACTGGTTTGATTCTCACTGGGTAGGTGTAAGAATTTGGGAGTTAATTAGAGAAATAACTTCATGACCCCACCCGACTAACACCATTCCCAATGTCCTTTGATTTTCCAAGCTTAAATGTTTGGGCACCCAGTGAGGATCGAACTCACTACTCAGTCGTAACTGTTCTAGCAAGTCAAGCTTGCTAACCATTACACCGCCTCAAGGTGTCCAAATGTCGCACATATATATCCGTCACCCGCACACGTACTAAACCTGTGACCCGCAGATGCACACCCAGCACCCCATAACTACCCACCTGGTCCACAGTCATGCCGCCTTCAGCGATGACCTCGTTACCTCAATTACCCAACTCAGTCACATGATGCATGTTTGGCCAGGTTTAGTAGGGACTTTTATTAAGAAGTTTTTTTCCGGAATATTAGGAAACATCAATTATACGTGAGCCGAATACATTTATTTGACCGTTATTAATGCTTAGGCCAAATTAAGAGCAAATTGGTCGAAAACTACCGGATCAATGAACCAAAATGGATTTTCAAGAAAGTTTTTACGTTTTTCAAGCATGCACGGACGCTCTTGACAGGACATTTGACCACTTGTTCAACTCGTCATGAGGAGAGCTATTTTTTGCCAAAAAAATTGCGTCGAAATTTGTTGAAGCCTGCAAAAGTCGTGCTAGGTTGAATTTTGAGAAGATTTCAAAAATAACATTTTTTTCAATGTTTTTCACCATTTTTAGGCGAAATGACAGAAAAGGGTCAAAAGGTCAAATATATTGCATTGTCGCCTCTGCAGCGGGCATCTTTTGCGTCCGGTTTAAGCAAAATCGTCTTTTCTGGAAAAAAAAAAACTTTTCTTGCGTGCAACTTTTGCAAAGAGGTGGTTACCTTAAGTTTTATCGATTTTTCATCTAGTGGATATCTCTGGGCATCCATACTGCGCTGTTGGACTGCCTCGGTTATTTTGCCACTCATTAAAAAAAAACTTCATCAAACTCGGATGAAAAATATGGAAACGCAGAAAAAGCTTACACATACATAGACACAGACAGACAGACATTTTGAGTTTGATAGATATAGAAGATTACTTTAAACGTTATTTTTAGTGTATACCCACATTTCAGTAAACGCTCCGTTTATTTAATACAGTATTTTGTATGGTCTAACAGCTTGAACATTCAAGAAAATCTTATTTAAGACAATGTTTCATCTGGCAAGAATCGAACCTGTGCCCCTCTTTGATGGAGACGTGGTCATTATCACAATGGCCTAGTAAACAATAACTTTTTGTCCCATAAATTCAGGTAAAACTGTACTGTAATATGTGTCTGACTTGAAACTGACAAACATCAAAATAAGAAATAAATCAATGTTTAGAAAGATGGCGCTAATGTTATCAAACGTAAAGAAATTGTAAAAAATATTTTTTTAAAAATACAATAATAATTAAAGAAAGATTTTTTTTAAAATTGCAAAATTAATTACAGTCCTACTTACGACCAGATGGATTTACGACCAGTGATCGTACGTCAACGAGGATCTCTATATCGTTTAAGGAGACGAAGAATTGTGGTCTGATTTTCTCGGTCATCCGAAAGGTATTCTCTGGTTTTCGGGACTTTTAGACTTAGTTCTCGAAGGGAAAATGATTTTCAGCATTTCAGTCCAAGCACATTCTAATTTAACATAGCTAAAGGAAAGAAAAAAATGAATTAATTTTTTCGTGCCATTTGAATCAAATTTTAAGCCTGGGGATCTAGCAGCTTTTAATTAGAAAACGTAAGGGGGGTTAGTTGAAAGCGATTCATGAGTGCACTTGTTCACGGCACAGTGTATGATTGCAGAATCTCTAACACTTGGATACGGCTGATTTCTCATGCTATCTGCTATGAGATCTCCATTCAATCCAGGCTTCCGGAAGTAACGTCACAGGAGTGGGACTGTGTCTAACTTTCGTGTACGTAATCTCATGGGTTGAATTATTCGTCACAGAATCAATTATGTCGTCACTTTGTAATTAAGAACTTAAAAAATAGCGTTTAACTGTTTAAAAAATATTATGATGCTTTCCTGCATTTTGATTTTGGGAAAAACAATAATTCAACGCAATACTTTTTTTCTCGAAACAATATATATATATATATATATATATATATATATATAGTCGACTCTCCGTTTTGGAGTGAACTACTATCGGCTCGACTCGATTAGATATTTATTTGCCCCCACCCACGAGGGAAAGATGTGGCACAAGGCCGAGTTTTACGTGGGTTTTCCGAGCCCGTAAGCTCGTCTAAAAATTGCCCGTAGAAACTGTAAAAACAGAATCGGATTGGTCAACCTCCCCGAACGAGGTTCTACCCTTCGGCGGAGCCCCGCCCGGGTTCCTCTCAACTCAGAGGCAGGGAGTTCGACCGTCAAGCGGAGAAGCTCGCCTTGATTCGGTATCTAGCCACCCCTCCACGAGGGTTTCAAGTGGCACAGGGCCGAGTTTAACGTGGGTTTCCCGAGCCCGTAGGCTCGGCCTAAAAATGCCCGTAGAACCCGTATAAACGAGATCGGGTTAGTCAACCTCCCCGAATGAGACTCTTCCCTTCGGCGGAACCTCATCCGGGTTCCTCTCTGCTCAGAGGCAGAGTTCGACCGTCAAGCCGAGAAGATCGGCTTGATTCGTATCTAGCCACCCTCCACGAGGGTTGCATGTGGCACAAGGCCGAGTTTAACGTGGGTTTCCCGAGCCCGTAGGCTCGGCCAAAAAATGCCCGTAGAACCCGTATAAACGAGATCGGGTTGGTCATTCTTCCCGAACGAGACTCTGCCCTTCGGCGGAGCCTCGTCCGGTATCCTCTCTGCTCAGAGGCAGAGAGTTCGACCGTCAAGCCGAGAAGATCGGCTTGATTCGGTATCTAGCCACCCCCACGAGGATTGCATGCGACGCAAGGTCATTTTTATCGTGGGTTTCCTGAGCCAAAAATATGCCCGTATGACTCGTAAAAACGAGATCAGGGTAGGTCATTCACCCCGAACGAGATTCTGCCCTTCGGCGGAACCTCGTCCGGTTCCTTTCTGCTCAAAAAGCAGAGAGTTCGACCGTCAAGTCGAGAAGCTCGGCTTGATTCAGTATCTAGCCACCCCCACGAGGGTTGCATGCGACACAAGGTCATTTTTTATCGTGGGTTTCCTGAGCCCGTAGGCTCAGCCAAAAATATGCCCGTATAACTCGTAAAAACGAGATCAGGGTAGGTCATTCACCCCGAACGAGATTCTGCCCTTCGGCAGAACCTCGTCCGGGTTCCTTTCTGCTCAAGAGCAGAGAGTTAGACCGTCAAGTCGAAAAGATCGGCTTGATTCGTCCTTCTCTTTTGAGAGGCGTAGTATACATAGTGTTAAGAAGAGTTCATTCTGTAGCTATAGGTAAGGACCCATGACAATTACATAAAAAAATATTTGTCCACAGCTCATTATGGTGAAATGTGCTGGTGACATTCGAGAATGACGAATCGGTCTTCTACGTATCTAGCTTAGATCTAGCAGAGATTAACAGGGACACGTAGGAGAGATAAATAGAGAAGGAACGCATAAAGTAGAGATAGTAAAGAGACACATAAGAAGAGAAAGATATAGAGGGGCAACTCTTAATAGAGATAGAGATATAGAAGAGACACATAAGAGAGTGAGAGGTAGAGAAGGAGCACATAAGACTGAGAGAAATAGAGAAAGGACATATATGGGAGAGAGATAAAGAAGAAACAGATAAGGGAGAGGAAGAATGGACAAATAAGAGAGAGAATGAAGGGACACATAAGAGAGAGAGATAATGGGCATATAACAGACAAAGAGAATGGATGTATAATAGAGAGAAGGGACACATAAGAGAGATAGATAGAGAAGGAACACATATGAAAGAGAGAGAGAAAAGGGACACATGAGAGAGAGAGAAAGAAGGACGCATAAAGAGATAGATAGAGAAGGAGCACAGAAGAGAGAGAAAGAAGGGACCTCATAAGAGATAAATAGAGAATGGACACATTCGTGAGACAGATAGAAAAGGGACAAATAAGGGAGAGGAAGAAAAGAGAATGAACACATAAAAGAGTGACAGATAGAGAAGGAATACATGAGAGAGATGTTGAAGGGCACATTAGAAAGAGAGAGAAGGACACATGAGAGAGAGAAAGAAGGGACGCATAAAGAGATAGATAGAGAAGTGACACAGAAGAGAGAGAAAAGAAGGGACCTCATAAGAGAGATAAATAGAGAATGGATACATTCAGACGGATAGAAAAGGGACACATAAGGGGAGGAGAGAAAGAGAATGAACACATAAAAGAGTGACAGATAGAGAAGGAATACATGAGAGAGATGTTGAAGGGCACATTAGAAAGAGAGAGAAGGGACACATGAGAGAGAGAAAGAAGGGACGCATAAAGAGATAGATAGAGAAGTGACACAGAAGAGAGAGAAAGAAGGGACCTCATAAGAGAGATAAATAGAGAATGGACACATTCGTGTGAGACGGATAGAAAAGGGACACATAAGGGAGAGGGAGAGAAAGAGAATGAACACATAAAAGAGTGACAGATAGAGAAGGAATACATGAGAGAGATGTTGAAGGGCACATTAGAAAGAGAGAGAAGGGACACATGAGAGAGAGAAAGAAGGGACGCATAAAGAGATAGATAGAGAAGTGACACAGAAGAGAGAGAAGAAGGACCTCATAAGAGATAAATAGAGAATGGACACATTCGTGTGAGACGGATAGAAAAGGGACACATAAGGGGGGGGAGAGAAAGAGAATGAACACATAAAAAGACAGATAGAGAAGGAATACATGAGAGAGATGTTGAAGGGCACATTAGAAAGAGAGAAAGGGACACATGAGAGAGAGAAAAGAAGGGACGCATAAAGAAATAGATATGAAGTGACACAGAAGAGAGAGAAAGAAGGGACCTCATAAGAGAGATAAATAGAATGGACAAATTCGTGTGAGACGGATAGAAAAGGGACACATAAGGGAGAGGGAGAGAAAGAGAATGAACACATAAAAAGACAGATAGAGAAGGAATACATGAGAGAGATGTTGAAGGGCACATTAGAAAGAGAGCGAAGGGACACATGAGAGAGAGAAAGAAGGGACGCATAAAGAGATAGATAGAGAAGTGACACAGAAGAGAGAGAATGAAGGGACCTCATAAGAGAGAGAAAATAGAGAATGGACACATTCGTGTGAGACGGATAGAAAAGGGACACATAAGGGGGAGGGAGAGAAAGAGAATGAACACATAAAAGAGTGACAGATAGAGAAGGAATACATGAGAGAGATGTTGAAGGGCACATTAGAAAGAGAAGAAGGACACATGAGAGAGAAAAGAAGGGACGGACATAAAGAAATAGATAGAGAAGTGACACAGAAGAGAGAAAAGAAGGGACCTCATAAGAGATAAATAGAGAATGGACACATTCGTGTGAGACGGATAGAAAGGGACACATAAGGGAGAGGGAGAGAAAGAGAATGAACACATAAAAAGAGTGACAGATAGAGAAGGAATACATGAGAGAGATGTTGAAGGGCACATTAGAAAGAGAGAGAAGGGACACATGAGAGAGAAAAGAAGGGACGCATAAAGAGATAGATAGAAAGTGACACAGAAGAGAGAAAAGAAGGGACCTCATAAGAGAGATAAATAGAGAATGGACACATTCGTGTGAGACGGATAGAAAAGGACACATAAGGGGGAGGGAGAGAAAGAATGAACACATAAAAGAGTGACAGATAGAGAAGGAATACATGAGAGAGATGTTGAAAGGCACATTAGAAAGAGAGAGAAGGGACACATGAGAGAGAGAAAGAAGGGACGCATAAAGAGATAGATAGAGAAGGGACACAGAAGAGAGAGAAAGAAGGGACCTCATAAGAGATAAATAGAGAATGGACACATTCAAGACAGATAGAAAAGGGACACATAAGGGGAGGGAGAGAAAGAGAATGAACACATAAAAGAGTGACAGATAGATAAGGAATACATGAGAGAGATGTTGAAGGGCACATTAGAAAGAGAGAGAAGGGACACATGAGAGAGAGAGAAAAGAAGGGACGCATAAAGAGATAGATAGAGAAGTGACACAGAAGAGAGAGAAAAAGGGACCTCATAAGAGATAAATAGAGAATGGACACATTCGTGTGAGACGGATAGAAAGGGACACATAAGGGGGGAGAGAAAGAGAATGAACACATAAAAAGAGTGACAGATAGATAAGGAATACATGAGAGAGATGTTGAAGGGCACATTAGAAAAGAGAGAAGGGACACATGAGAGAGAGAAAGAAGGGACGCATAAAGAGATAGATAGAGAAGGGACACAGAAGAGAGAGAAAGAAGGGACCTCATAAGAGAGATAAATAGAGAATGGACACATTCGAGACGGATAGAAAAAGGGACACATAAGGGAGAGGGAGAAAAAGAAATGAACACATAAAAGAGTGACAGATACACATTAGAAAGAGAGAGAAGGGACACATGAGAGAGATAGAGATATAGAATGGACACATAAAAGAGTGGGAGAGATGAGAGACATAAGAGAGAGAGAGAGAGAGAGAAAAAAAGAGAAGGGAGACAAAAAAGAGAGATAGAGAAGGGGCACATATGCGACAGAGAGAGACAGACAAAGAAAGTTGCATCAAAGAGTGCTTGTTGAGTTAAAAACATAGAAGCAGTCGACCACAGAAAGTGTTGTAGAGAATTTTCCCATTCGTAAAACACTACTTTCCTTAGGAATTCTTTCTAAAAATATTCACATAGAATACGATTCGAACAGTTATCGTTGCATCAGTAAAGATGCACACACTCAGACACACACTCAGAGACACTCGAAGACACACACTCAGACACACTCGAAGACACATACATAAATCGATTTCCAGCAATGCCGCCATACATTTGATACATCCTCAAATATGAGCAACGTGCATGTAGCGTTTTAGTTTTGCTTGTATATTTTTCATCATTTCACCCCAAGTAAGGCAATAAAGCTACTAAGACGCCAGGGGTTACTGAGTGTTAGAGAATATGATTAAAAAAAACACTTTTAAGGAGAGAAAACGATAAAAGGACAATAATTAAAAGACGGAAGATAACATTTGTTAATGCATTTAAATTTGTGATAGTCATAGTTAACTGGTGAGGAAAAAAGCCAGTCACATTTAGCCATTTCAACTAATGTAAAAGGATGTGACGTTTTCACCAATCTAGTACTGTGCTTAACTTCCTAAATTATATTTACCATAGAAGCCATCAGAAGAAATTACCATGAAAGATTTTTATAGAAAAGACACAAGTAAGCTACATTATGGCGGTGGAAAAGTGACTGAAACCAATATGCCATGTCAGGACCAATAACATTGCAGATTCTTCTTTGGATTTTATCAAGAATCTCTAAGTATATAGCTGGGGCATCAGACCAAATGTGATGGTAGTATTCAAAGCGTGGATGAATGGTAGACTTATAAATATGTAAGATAGATTTTTACAAGAAAATCTTTCTAGCACGACGCAGTCAACCAACATTACGAGCAGCAAGCGTAGCAATTAATTTAATATAATCTCTCCACTTCATGTCAGCATAAAAGGTTAGTCTGAGAAGCCACGACGAGGCACTCTTATGGAGGTTAAGCATCAACCATACTGATGGAAGATAAAATGTTCTCTCATATGATTAAGATAGGGCAGTTTTGTTTTGTTTAGGATGTATTTACATAAACGAGCCATTCCTTGCTCCATTTAACAAAAGCCTGTCGGTTATGTTTTAAATTAGCTGCAAATTTGACTTTATCGAACCGATGAAACTTACTATTTATGAAATAGCTATGACATCAGCATAGATACCAAGTTCGGTACTGATGATATCAGTGTTGCTCCGACATTGCAACGTTGGACGTTTTTAGCTGTAGTTTTTACATAAATGTCCCATAACTTGTAAAAAAGGAATTCTCTCTGTGTGTGGAGTTGTTAAACTCAAAACCCTAACAAATATCTCACAAGATTCTGTTTACCAAGTCTCTTTTACCATATTGTCATATCTCAGCCGTTGAACGATCCACTCTTCTTCATGTGATATACGTTGAAATTTATGACCGAACCGTTTATTTAGTTTACGGGGGTAGATTGTTCTAGTTCCACATGTCATGCCTCTTCTGGATATTACATTTTCAGTTACTTCCGTTTAGTATCTTAACTCTTCAAGTTTTTGTTCTCTGTTATTGAACTCAACACTTTGCGTCAAGTCACTGGATGGCTTCAACAAGCGCTTTTATCCAGTGGGGACATCAGTGTATGACTTTTTGTATCTTATAGAGCTAATGTCTCAGTAGACATTTTTTCCAGAGCTCTTTTTTGTTATTGTTGTTTTTCACTATCTCTCTTTATTACCTGTTCCCATATTGTATTCATGTCTATTCTGGGCTGGCTTATAAGATTTTTGTGGCTTAATATATGCGCTGATTCCTTAAGTTTTCGTATTTTCTAGTGATTTTCTCTGTCTATTATTTCAACTTCATTTCACAGTGTGTAAAAAGTTACATCAGAAATATAGACAAATGTCAGTTTTTAACATTGTGCACTGCTTTCATCCAGAAATGAAGGATTTAGAGTTACGTTGCCGGAGCAACAGATCTGATTGCAACAGACGTCTCTCTGTCTCTGCTCTAATAAGTGCAGGCTTGTCCTCAAAGAAGCGAATCCATTGTTTGCTGATAGAATGAAATAACGTTTAGCCTTTTCAAAGTTCGATTCTGTAGATCATTTGGCAGCTCTGAAAGAGTGAGTTCAATAAAAACAAAGTCTCAATCTCTCTTCAATCAATTTGAAGTCCTGACATTCACATCAGTTAAGGTTGAGGGCTTTGCTCGAAAGTTCTCCTCCAACTACACACTCGACTCTGCTGAATGATATGCGTATAGCCCCGTCACAGGTTTCAGAGATCATTTCCCAATTAGACTCCAAGGCAAACGTATGTGACGGGATCCCAGCCGTCGTCTTCAAGAAATGTGCATTCGATCTGGCACCAATTCTCTCCAAATTCTACAATTGCCTCGATGATTTCTGCTTCCCAGCTTGTTAGAGGTCCTCCTCTGTAGTTCTTGTTTTTAAGAATCCTAGAGAACCCCCTGAACCATCAAATTATAACGCTATTAGTTTCTTACCACATTTTGGCAAAGTATTCGAGGCTCTAATCAGTGCTGAAGTGCTTAAGCATCTCAAGACTTCCTTTCGGACAAACAATATGACTTGCATTTCGCCAGCCCTACCACTGATGTGTTAACGGCCATCATTGAATTTGTATATTAATCTCTAAATAAAAACGGCGATGCTCGAACTGTCGTACTAGATATTCCGAAGGCGTTTTACAGGGTTTGACATACTGATTTTCTACATAAGCTCCAAGGCTATGATGTCAGAGAACGAATGTTTGATTTAATCTAATCGTTCCCACCAGATCGGGAAATGAAGGTGGATTTGAACGGGCTTGCTTCCTGATCCTTTCAAACGAATGTGGGTGTGCCCAATGGCTTTTTACTGAGTTCTACGCTATTTCTGATCTTCATCAATGATCTCTTCGATGTAAACAGTTTCCAACTAGATATTTATGCAGATGACACTACCGTTTGCTCCTTAATTAATAGCAAATCCATCTGACAAGACTCTTGAAAGGGACCCTCCAATCAGTGGTAAAATGGGTCAAGAAATGGCTTGTAAATTTGAACATCTCCAAAACAAATCTACTCTCATTTAACCACTATAGAGTTCTTTTCTGCTTGCCATCAGCATGGCCGACGCTAGATTCCAGGAGTACAACACACTGCGCCTTCTTGACTTCAAGTGTATCGAATCAATAGCTGTATTTGCTTATAAGGAGAGTCAGGTCACTCTGTCGAGCCAGAATTTTTTTCTCATCTGGATCCATTTTGCGCATTTAAAAATTTACCATTCGACCTTGCATTGAATACTGTTGCTATATCTTGTCTCGTGCTCCTGCTCTTACATCTCGAGATTCTTGACACAATCCAAAGAAGAATCCGGTATCTCGACTTCAGTCACTTTCTCACAGACGTAGCGTGGCCCCCTCTGTCTTTTCTACAAATATTTCCATGTGTTTTTCTACAAATATTCTCCTTTGACGAGCTTTTTTCCTGGCTGCCCGACTGCATGAATTTAAGCGTGCAATTATATTAGCATCCAGACTCCACCTGTTTTCTGCTTAACTAGCTAAATGCAACCACTGACAGTCTCTTTTCTCGCATTTAACACCTGCGGAACACCTTTTCGGTTCCCTGCTTACTTGATAATTACGATTTTCAGAAGTTTAAATGCAACATAAGTCGCCTTCTTCTGTCTTTTGAATCCCGTTACTCTTCTGTCCATTCCTCAATCCTCCTTATTCTCAGTCTTCTCTTTCCCTGTCACTCTCTGTAGCCTCCTGTGTACAAGTGTCATTCCAACATTGCTTGGGGTTGAAATGGTTTTTAAAAATTGCCTCATGTTGGCTTTCTTCAGTGTGTTCTTAATGCATTCTTTATATCTACATTTCATCTTGAACGGTGGTCTTTTTCCTTCATCCAATTCAATGCATATAAACTTAATTCTGACCATATGACCACTCTATCTCAATAGTCGCCGAAGTAACAGAGACTCTATATTAGTTGAATGGCTGAGTTTGAGGATATCAACGCTACCCACTTATATTTACCACAATATACGAAAAATATAGGGGAGATACTTGGAGAAATCACTCTAACTTGGGTCTTCGATAATGACCTAGATCTCACATACATATAACAATGAAGACAAGACTCATACATACATACATACATATAGGGTGGTGATGTAATGTTATTTGACCAACCGACATTTTAAATAAAATCTTCTAACGAAATAATCATATTTTGCGGATAATTATTTTTTGGTGTACAATAATTTAGTGATTGTCACTTCTACGGGTAATCACGTAAATTCCTTGATAAAGCAGGTCTAAGAGAATGACCAGACTGATTCAAACTGGTAGAAACGAAATAATTCCTCAAATTACCACTCTTTACAGTGGAAATATACAAGATAATATCTGAACGCACAACACATCGAACCTTGAAACTGACAGGCTACAGCAGCAGAAGTCCATTCTGGGCACCACTCCTTAATTCGTCAAGGATCGCAAAGCCTGAACAATAGAAAATTTGTATCGACGTTGATCCATGATCTGAAGAGTTTCGTTTTCTCCTGCAAATTTACGATCGTAGGGATATAATTTTGCATAAACAACATCCACGTATAGATGTGCATCCAGTTCGGTATCAGTGGTTGATATTGCCGGTGTATATGTAACGGCACGGGGAATATTTTCTCGGCATACACATTTGGAAACTCGTATCAATAGGAGATATAATTTAAATATCGCAAGCTAACTGGGTATTGCGACTGGTCCCGTGTCTCACTTTATGAATACAATGCGCGAATTCTTAGGCGCTCACTTCCTTCAGGATAACAACACACTGTGAGACAAATAAAAAAATAGTTGCTGATTCGGTCATGATATAAAATAATATATTTTCTGTGATAAAGCGGTTTACCCAGTTATCGGATCACGATTCTAGAGAACTACTTTGGGATGTAGAAGAAAGGAGGATTTGAATCCTGTATATAGAGACAAACAATCT